GTGGGGAACTTATATACCTAATTTGAAAGTTGTTTTGAAAATAAACCCTATGCAAGTGCCGATGGAACTAGTTGATTTGAAAATAAACCCTAAATTAAAAGTTGTATATTAATTATGTATGCTTATGTTTATTCATTTTAAAATTTATACACTGCTATAATTGGAAAAAAAAAAACTCTGGGACCAAGGCTCGAGGAAGAATGTGCATGGTTGTATGTGCATGAGTAGAGGCATGTCCATTGATATATATATGTTGTTATGACTGTGTGCATAGGCACATATGTGTATAGGTAGGTGGGTGTGTGTTGCGGTGTGTTCAGTGTATTTGTAATACGTATGCATAGCCATATTAGTGATATATATATATATATAAATGTGTATGAGTTATGTATAATAAGGTGTAACTTGTTTGTGTGTATATATAGCTATATAGATATATATACACACACAATTTACTAGATATATGGGTGTGACAATGTGCATAATATATATAAATGTGCTTGCTACATAGAATTGTGTGCAATATATTGTGTTTGTGTGTGTGTGTGTGTGTGAACAAGATAGTAGGCGTAGAAAAAAAATATCATGTGTATGTATGGTATGGGGGAACGTATACCATATTGTGTATGTGGGAGTATCAACAAAGATATATGAATGACACTGTGTGAATGTATAATGTGTGAATCATTATGAATTTGAATAATGCCTAAGAAAATAAATAGAATTTAGATATAATATGTAGATACATTTTAGGGAAACCTGAAAAGGGGATATGGCAGAAATGTTTTTGATGATATCATGGTAAAAAGAACATAGGGAAGTTAATAGTAAATAATGACATGGGGGTGAATGAAGAAACCAAACTAGCATAATAGACCAAATTGACCGATAAAGATGAATAAGAATTAAGAATAAAAATGAGAGAAATTTATATCAAAGGACTAAGAATAAGAAACTAAGAATAAAGTTGAAAGAGCGATTTAAAAGGGGAAAGTTTAGCAAGTACTAGAGAGGGAGGATCCATGTGTAAGTATGAAATTTGTGGTGAAATCTACTGTGGATACAGTCGATAATTTGTGGCGCTCGTATAGTTTGAGTTACGGGAACAGCCAATGATCTATGATGCTCGTATAGGTTGAGATACGAGGACGATCAATGTGTTATGGCGCTTATATAGGTTGGGGTATGAGGATAGCCAATAATTTGTGACATTCATATAGGTTGAGGTACAAGGGCGACCGATGTTTTGTGGCGCTCATAGATTGAGGTATGAGAACGACCAATGACTGTTATGGAAAATGTTGAAGTATCCATATGTAGAGAGGATCCTTGTAGGCCCTCAATAATATTGGTGAAAACGACATCGTGTGATGAAATACTAAAGGGCATAAAAAGAAGAATACTTAAATAAATGAAAATATTTTACATATTGGAAATTATGTTTGTGATGTTGAAAGGTGTTATCTACTTTTGATTTGAGATATTTTGATGTTTGGAAAAATGATGTATGAATGTGAAGTTTGATTACATGAAAGAGAAATTCGAATATGGAATATGGAATATGGATATGAAATATGGAATTTGGATGTGTGAGATTGGTATTAAATGAAGGAAAACGGATATGCGGAATGGCAAATGAAAAGATGTGTTGTTCTGATTGTTTTCTTTCAAATAGGAATTTTCTTCAATAAAAGCTGCATTTGTTTTATCCAAGTTGTATGATTGGTTGTTTGCATATCCCTGTTATATAAATTGTATCTGTATTTTGATATGTTATACTGATAGTATGTTGATGTGAAAAGGAAGATTTAGGGTAAGGGAGTTGAGAGTAAATGAAATAAAAAATTAAAAAGGGTTTTTTAAAATAAAAATAAGTTCTATCAAAATTAAGATTCCATTGATGTTTTTACTGTTTTTTACAATACTTTGATAAACCATTATTTTATTTGATTTTTTGTACCCTTAATGAGATAGTGCAATTCATCCAATTCATTATTTATTTTTTTTCAAATCAAGACACCCAAAACCCCACTCTTGAACAATGAGAGATTCACTAAGAAATTTTTTTTTTTATTTTAGGCACAACTAAAGTCAATTATTTCTCTTTTACTGTTAGTACTTATTTCGAAATGTAGACATACCTCATGGATGTTGTAGATTTAAATTAAATATGTAATGGATATAATTTTATTTTTAATTTGATGCACTTATTTATTATATTCATTAGTCTTATTGATTTAGAAATTGTGTGTGCATATTCGAGACTCTAAAAACGGCCAGGACGCTACAGAAAATCTACGATTCTCTACCATGAGAATAATGTAATCCCAATCAAGACTTGTAATAATAAGATTTTTCTTCTCTTATTTTGATAAGAACTCTTAATTGATGAAAATTCTCAGTTTTGATAACATAGATATCTTAAAATGTGGCCTGACTTAGTAGGATAAGATTGAATCCTTATGACATTTTCTTGAAATTGAAAACTATTCATGAAGAGCATTGTGTTCGGCTAAGATTGTGAAAGAATGAATAATCAAGTGTTCAAGATTTTTAGAACTCTTATTATTCACATGATTAATATGCCCTATAAGAGAGGAGTGTTCGGTTATTACTCTTAAAAAAAAATAGACAAATCCTCATGTGAATACCCGAGAGTCCATGATTGGGATGACTCTTTTGCCCGTTTGCTTGTAATCATTTTTATCACGGGATCTTAGTATGAGTTGTCCTCCCTTTTGCTCACATCTGTATATTTTTAATATCTAACTTTATAACTAGTTAATAACATCAATCATTATAATGAACATGTTTACTCTTACTTATAATTTAAATCTTTTATTACCTATTAGATTTTTCGTACTTTTATATATTTTTTTTAACAAATTAAAAAATTTGGTTTAACATGCATAATATGATCATATCGTAATCCATGATACCTTTTTTAATAAATTATAATTAATAAATCGATAACCACTATTTTTTACCTTGAAATTTGAAGAGATCTTCAATAAGGTTGCTCGAACAATCATAAAGCTTCAACATATAACGAAGTACCAAGATGGTAAAAGCTAATAGCAAAACCAAGGACTACCAATGATGGTTAGACTTTTACTTAATGTTTTTAGTTAGATTGTTTCCTAATACACGATTTATAAAAATTAGAATAACCCAAATAACTCTTATTAATAAATTTGCAAAATGAAAAGCTATTCTATGGTCTTTATAAAGACTGAAACGGTTTGTTGTAGAAAGAATTATAAATATGTATGACATGACTGTGTTTCTTTTTGCTTTCAAATATGTTTTTACGTTTTTGTGATATTATGATTTAAAATAAATTATTAAAACGACTTGTTGATTATTGTCTAACTCCTTTTTTTTTTTTCCTTCAATTGAAAAAATAAAAAGTAAAAGATATCTTAGTTTTTTTCAATATTTTATGGACTTATGTTTTAGCACTTGCATTGGTTGAAAATGAAGTAAATACAGAGATTTATATTTACAAAAAAAAAAAAAATACTAAAAGGTTAATCTGAATTAACTAAAGCAAATCAAATTAATAAATTAAAAAGGTTTAATTTTTAAAATTAGTCAAAATATTTAAAATGGTTTGTTATAAGATTTTTTGGACGAGTTCTCAGTATCCACCTCCTTGGAACTTCATTTTTGTCACAAGTTGTATAATGTATGATGTGTTCAACCTTCACTAACAAATATACTAATTCGCTCGAGTAATAGAACGATGAGTATAAAATCATTCTTATGAGAATTAATTAGATTTGATGTTACCGTAATGATATTAACGATATTATTTCAGAACAAGACAACAATTTAAACTAACAAGTAAACTAAAAGTATAATGAGAATAATTAACCCACTAATAAGGCAACTTTTTTTGAGCAAAAATTTTTCAGAAGATTGAGGTGGTAAAGATTTGACTTCACCTACACGGTCTGTTGAAAGTATTCAATGAGACGGTTTTAACTTTCTGCTTTTTTTCTTCAAGGGAGAAGAGAATAGCATGTCACAAGATAGAATTGGTGACTCAAATCAAGTGTTTAAATAAAGAAAAGTTACACATGAATATGTGTGTATAAATAGACAACACTATTTGATAAAATTATATAAAAATATTTCTTTAATTTTTTTTTTTTACTATTCTCAATATTATGCCATACTTCTAATTTGATTTTTTTTAAATTATATTAATTTAACTACCCCTAGACCTAAACAACATCCCAATGCTCTTCTTTGCCAGCAAAAATACTAAAAGCCATGAAGAAATTTTTTTTCTGAATGTTATAAGCATCCCCTACAAATGACGCCAAAAAGATCGTAATGGTATCACTATTACTCAAATCTTGGATCAAATACCAAGAAAGCAAGATTGAGAATACAAATACTATATAACTGAATGGCAAGATTAAATCAGAACTTGGCTGGCCCTATAAGAAATGATCTCGAAACAAATGCATGCTATCACAATCTCTCTCCACATGATTCTTTTATGTTAAAACTAATAAATATCTACTAAACTTCACACGATAAGTACCTTCAAAATTGAAGTTCAATCAATCGCCAGAAACAAATGTCTTACCCTCGTAATACCTTTTCTCACTTGCCACCTTCTTCTCATTTCGCTTCTGCAAAAGAAAAGGTATTGTTTTAGATGCCAAGAAAGAACATAGGTTAGAGCTATCCAAGGTTACAGAACATAGGTTAGAGCTACCCAAGGTTACAAACTAGTATAACCATTGCCCATTCAAAAATTGGTCATACAGACTAGAATCTACACACCAACTCAATCAAGGTTTAGCTATTGAAGACTCAGAAGTTTGATAATTTAAAATAGCATGTGGGATGTAGGTAAACCTGGTACGCTTCATGATTTGATACTATTCGTCTTATTATAGTAGATGTTGTGATATCCAGAGGGCTTTCTAGAACTTTAAAGATACCCATACTGAGAGGAACAGAATATGGGTTGTCTTTCTCCTGCATAAGATATTTTGAAGATCAGAAATGAACAAAATACATCTCAATTTTCTGGTAATCCATCAGGAAAAATATGATTTACAAGAATCTATCTCACAGTTTACCTTCTGAAAGTCATTACTCTCTGCTACTGTCCCATGCACAACCAATGAAATGTTGAAAGTTGTGATCTGCGATAGCAATAACATTTTATGAGTTACGAGTACATATTAACCAATGTCTTTGGCCAAATTGCTTACCTTTTTTACTCAATTAATGAAAAACAGAGTAAGTCAACAACCAGTGGACAGGAAACAAATAGAGCTCTAAGCCTCAATACAGAATTACCATAAATAAATAGCAAATTTCAAATTTGTTACTACCTTGATACTTCTTTGATGTATCCTATAAGAGTGAGAAGGTAGTAACCATACTTTCAATTTCAACCAAAGAAGCTTAATAGCTGCAGGTTAGTGTAATGACATTGGCAGTGGGAAAAGGGAGTAAACACCTCTAATAAACGCGATTAAGATTACTTCCTCTTCAGATGCATACTTTGACTGAGGCTTAGCTGCATGTTATTTTTAGATTTGTTTATCTTCCTGATAATTTAAGTCGTTAGTAGTTGAAGTTTCAAAAAGATTTTTTTATCAAAAATCTCTTTGAAAAACTTATTGTGCTTTAAACTAAATTTTCATTATTTCTTTAGAAAAAAGATAACTTTGTCAAAAATAGTTTCTAAATTATTTTTCAAATGAAATTTATACGTGGAAAAATTTTCAAACCAAAATAATTTATTTAAGAAAATATTTATTTGCTATCAACAGATGTAATTCTAAAATCACTTCTCTGCGCACACAGGATGATGCCTTAAATTGCTGGTATGTTATGAGAAATGATACAGTAAAACACTTCTCATACCACACAGAAAGGACGTTTTAACATTGGACATAGCTGAACATGAGGATTTCATTATATCACATCTTAAATCATACAGTTTTTATGCCAAAATATATTTATCAACATCAAAAGTAAATCAAAGGTGTTAGGAAAGTTGATTTCAGCAAATTACGTCAAGAACATACTGTTTTCAAAAAGACAACATTTTTAAGGTAAATGTGTCAGAGTACGTGATTTACAGGGTCACGTCAGATGAAAATCTTGCCCTTTTAGGTAACATAATTACAATTGTTTAAAGGGTCATATCTGATTTCAGAATTCCTCCAACTCTATTTGACTTTCCTACATATAAGTACTTCCCTCTAGCAGTTATGCAACTTTTGAGAATCAAATTTAAAAATCAAAAGAAAAATCTTCTTCCCTCTTGTTAAGCCTCCATTAAGCCCTAAGTGTACCTTTCCCTTATAAGTCAGCTTTTTTAAGAGTTAAAATTGTAATCATTTCTTCTATATTTCTAGGGCATTAAAAGAAATGTTTGAGGAAAACTTTAGGAACTTTTGGGTGCAGAAACACAAATTATTGGTGACCTAAGCATCAAGAATAACTAATGTATTGTAAAGAAAAAGTTTGAGAAAACATTTGAAAGCCTTTATATTGAGAAAACACAAGTGATTGGTAAGTTAGACATTAAACACAACTAGCGTATTGTAAAAAATGTTTGAGGAATCATATAATAGTTCTTATGTTGAGGATAAGCAAGTGATTGGGCAACTAGCACCAACAACATTTAGCATTTTATAAGAGATTGATGAAAACAGTGGAAACCAAGTGATTAGCTTAAGAAAGAGGATATAGGCGCAAGTGATGAGGCCAAACCTCCATAAAAGAGTTTGCCTTCTCTTCCCTTCCCTTCTTTACTTTATCTTTGAGTTACCTTTCTATAGAAGTTGATATTACAACCCAACTCACATTATATACACTCGAGGATTTATTTACAAAAGCAAAGCTCTCTATTGTCATTTGTTCATATCATCACTTGTTAAAGAGAGTGCATTGTATGTACTCCATACATGCCTACCAATTCACAGCTAGCGGATATGTTCACCAAATGCTTGAGCAGTCCAACATTTCAAAACTAATCATTAGCAAGGTAAGGATGCTGAGAATCAAGTAGGAAAACCTTATGTGCCTATATTATGACAATAAATTAGCCATAAATATTGTCCACAATCTGATACAACATGATCAAATCAATATGGAAGTCTACACACACTTTATGAAAGGAAAACTCCACATTGGTCTATTATGTACTTCATACATGCCTACCAATTCACAGCTAGTAGATATGTTCATCAAAAGCTTGAGCAATCCAACATTCAATAATATCATTGATGGTGGACAATATATATTTCATACCTTGAGGGGGAATATTAAGAAGAATGTATTGTATGTAAATTAGGTTAAAAATAACTGAAGTAAAATACATCATATGTAATTAATTGTTTACTTTTTTTTACTAATTCTATAAAATCTTGTATATATAGAATTATAGTATTTAATAAAATATACGTTCAACCATTCCTAATATTACTATCTTCCTTGAGAACTTGATTAAAAACGTAATTTTCACTATTATTCATATATTCTACACATTAATTAGTGACAATTTTCTCACAAAAAAATAACTATTCCAAAGTTGGGTAATTATTTAAATACTTAAAATTTTAAAAACTCAATTTAATTATCCTATTGATATTAGAGCTTCTTCACTTAATTATCTAGAGCAAAGATCAGTTATGGCAACCAATTAAGTGAAGATCAATCTCCACTAGATCTCATTTGTTAATAGTCATCACTACGATTACAAGAAAAATAGAATGAGAATATTTATTCACGTCTCAAACTATGACCTTTAAAAAGTCATTATAGAGAGACCTCATATTCTTTTAGAATCTTTGGAGATCAAGTAGTAATAAAACTAGAAGATGAGTGGGATGAGAATGACAAAAAACTAGTATAATTAAATGCGAGAGCATAATGTAAATTCATATAAATGTGATATCAACTTGTGAGTCCGTTAAAGAAATTTGGGATAATCAAGAAGAAATTCATGAGAGAACAAACCGAGATACAGGATAACCAATTGTCCTCAGGCCAAGAAAACTCCAAAAAGGTCAAAAAGAAGGCTATGTTAGCTATATTGAGTGATAGTAAAGAAAGTGGCTCTGAAGATCATGAAGAAAATGAAGTTGCAAACTTGTTTCTCATGTCCATAAATGAAGAAAAAGATGAGTCTCATTCTTCTTAGGATGAATTGCAAGATCCCTTTGAAAAACTTTATAATGAATTAGTGAACTTGGGCGCAAACAATATTGAGCTCAAGAAACATGCATCATTTCTCTTTAAAGATTCTCTAAAGATGTGTAAACTTTAAAGAGGGAAAATGAGGAACTCCAAATATAACTAGATGAATTGGAATGTACAAACCTAAAAGATGAAAATCTTGCAATGGAAAAGAAGATCAAAGATTTCAATGACATACTTGCTAAATTTGTACAAGAAAGAGAAAAACTGAACATATTATTCTCATACCAAAAAAGTGTAAATGATAAAACGGAATTTAGATATGATGTCTCTAAAAATAAAAGTTTCTTAGAAGTTTGTAAACTCTACCAACTCAAGTAGTCCATTTATCACTTGTAATTTTTGTGGTAAAAAAGACATTTTCCATTCATGCTCCATTAGAAAAATAGTTGTTATTGCGTGAAAAAGGTTTCGATTCCAAAAGGAACAATTGCCTCTGACATTGATGGACACAAAAAGATTGAGGTAACAAAATCAACTGAATAATGTATTCTCTTCTAGGTATGCTTTAAAGCCTCCAAGATGAAAAAAAGTTAGTACCTTAACAGTGGGTGTTCAAGGCACATGACTGGAGATAAAGATGATTTCAAAACACTAAGGCCAAAGGAAGAAGGTGAAGTAACCTTTGGGGACAACAACAAAGGTAAGATAAACGGAATCACCAAAATAAATAAAAATTTGTAGGTCAAAGGCTATAGAGTTGTCTTTGAATCTAATTATTGCCTCGTTATTGACATCAAAGACAAGTTAACCAAATTTGTAGGTCAAAGACATGATCA